TTCCCCGGGGAGCATACCCCCACTGATTTGTTTCCCTTTGATTTAAATTAGATTTAAATTTGTGAAAGAGAATGACTCCTATCCAAAATATAGAAGGAGAAAGCCAGAAGATGGAGGTCACATCGGCAAGATTAAAATGAGACAATATGGACGTCAAGTTGAACAAGAAATCAATCAGTGGGTAGTACCTTACAATACATCTGTTATATCAACGTTGAAATCTGCTCATCAATTCATTCAATTATTACATATCAAAGTGGTCAGATCATTTTTGCACAAACCCTTACTGAAAGTTTTTTTTTACCCTTTCATTTAAATTAAATTTAAATTTGAACAATGGAATGACTCCTATGCGCTTAAATTCATAAAGTATATGTCAGAGAGAGAGAGAGAGAGAAAGAGAGAGAGAAAGAGAGAGAGAGAGTGAGAGTGGTGTTTAGCTCATGAACACAATATGTATGTGCATTTGAACAGGCACACGAGTATACAGATCTTCATACATGGCAGTAGTCGCCTTTCGTATGTCTGTGTGCAGCTGTACTAATTTCTACGGATGTTACCGGAGTCTCTATTTAAATGTTGCCAACTTTCAGATTGCGTCGAATCAGTTTCCACCGTGACGATAAATTGATCTCTTGGGCAAGCAGTTATCTGCACGGCCATTCGGGATTGCTGTTTCCAGATAAGATGCAACCAATTCAAAATCGGAGCTAGAAAACGAGGAAAGCGGCAGTTCGGAAATGGGTCAGGCTAGTTACGTTCAGTTTGTTGGAGTAGCTGTATATAATCAAATAGCAACCGGGACATGCGGTCAGACACTGCAGGACTGGTATCCTTGACAAAGCGATAGACAATACATTGGTGAGACTATTACGACCATATCAAAACTATAAAGCCTTTCTTTTATATCTTATAACTAGAAACAAACACTGTCTTTTTCCGATGCTTATGCAATAAAACTAAAAAAACGCATACACGCGCAATTACACACACACACACACACGCATATGCAAGAACACATACGCAGATACACACATATTATCTCCAACAGCATTTGAGCGTTGGGTAATGCTTAGCAAGATCATCCTGGTTATTCATTACTACTAAGTAGTAAATTCAATCCTCACTGTCTTCCCCATACAAAATTCGACATGTAAAATCAGCTGTAGTATGGAGTCACCCCTGGAAATACTCGTCTGAATCGAATTTAATGAGAGCATTTATTCTAAGAGGAGTTGATCCATGGTGTACTGGACTCACTTCGGATGATACTAATTGTCCTACTAGACCATCAGAAAAGCCAGGTGCACCAGCGGGTTGATCTGAAAGATAAACCTACTCGCCATCAGATGCAGATTCGCATCTTCTTGAATATCAGTGTCACCACCATCCTACCGACATGTACACAGGTAGTCAACCCAACTTTTCTTAGGATGTGCACATGTGGGACAACCGATGACAGGTTCCAAGTGGGAAAAGACGGTCTCTCTCACCTCCTCGCGAGAAGACGAGTCCACGTTCGGAAGGGAAAGAATAAAAAAAAGTCACACACCCGCTGATATTAATTGACGAAGTTCCGAGTATGGAAGGCAAAGTCTCAGAATTTGTACAACGATAACCTTGCATTGTTATTTTCCAAGTGTAACGCAGATGCGGCACAAGGCCGAAAGTATGGGGCACCCAGTGAAGATCGAACTCACTACTTAGTCGTATTTGTTCTAGCAAGACAAGCTTGCTAACCATTACACCACCTCGAGGCGCTTAACGATAATCTTGCATAACCAAGCATGATTATCTGGTATGGTAGAATACATCTTATAAATTTCTATATATCAGAAAGGTAATTAAATGACAAAGTGGAGATTTGTCTATGCAACGCGTTTCGTCCTCTAAAAGGACTTCATCAGGCTAAAGTATTTTTTTTTTATGGAATTATATATGCGTAAATGGGAAAAGGGCGATATAAGCGTAAACGTCGATTATAATTATATACCGATAAAAAATTATTCAGTTTTTAATGTTGAAATGCATATATATATTTATATATATATAGATTATGTAGAGAGGTTATGTAGAGATGGGTAGAGAATAAATTTAACTTTTTAATCCGCCATATTGTACTACTGCAAACGTTATATTTAGTGGATATACGGATATGAGTAGACGCCACGTTTTTTTTTGGGGGGGGGGGTTCGTTTTTAACAGTGTTTATTTCTTATTTGGTCTACTCACTTGAAAACACTTGATAAAGAAAGTTTTTTCCTCCGGCAGGACTCGAACATATGTTCCCCTTAGCAAGAGATACCAGTGTCTGATCCGACGTGCTTTGATCCTCCGTCTACGGATTGCTTTACTGTCAAGCAAGTTTCCATTTGCCTTTCAAGAGAATATGAACGAGAATCATATATATATATATATATATATATATATATATATATATATATATATATATATAGGTTTATGAAATATATATATATAATGTATATATATATATATAATGTATATATATATATATATATATGTGTGTGTGTGTGTGTGTGTGTGTGTGTGTGTGTGTGTGTGTGTGTGTGTGTGTGTGTGTGTGTAAATATATAGAAAATAGGAAGGAACTGGTTAGGTAAATAATCCAAAGTCCCTTAGTATTTTAGTTATTATTTTTTAAAAATAGTGCTCGATACAAAAGTAGAGCATAAATATAATTATTTATTTAAAAATATGATTCCAAATCGCGACATAAGAAGTCCCATGTTTCAAAACAAGAGCCGAAAACTTCAATATAATTATTTAAATTATTTAAATTAAATTGAGTTAAAATAAGCTCTGTTCCATCTTCAAGCGAAATTTTTTTGGGAATAACGTGTTTCTGAAATTTACGTGTTTTAAAAATTGAAATCAAAATTTCCATGGTAACAGCTAGGGCGAATTGTTTAAGTTGGGTAGGCGGGTGTTGGGTGTTAATAATAAGTATCAGTATAGAGTTACTTTCGTAGATGTCAAGTCAGTGAAAGGTGGGGGTGTCTAAATTTGAAACGGAAGATGTATTGACCCTCGTCTAGTTTGCATGTCTATGGAGATTTATTTATTTTTATACACACACACACACACATATATATATATATATATATATAATAATCTTATAAATATAAGTAAGTATACTCGTCCGGAAAAACCTTAGGTGTTTTGGCTTGTAAATGAACAAAACAATACCCAAGGAAAAATAAGGAATAAAAACAGAAAGAACTAAGAACATGTAATTCAGGCGAAAACAATCGACCAGAATCCAAGCTCTGAGTCCAAAGAAAAAAAAAAACCTCCGACACGAGTAAAGTAAAAATAACTAAGCAAATTGTTCAATACACTAAGCTGAGCAAATCTAACTACCAACCTAAAGAGCCAGACAAACTTACCTAGGTTTCAGCTACGCGGATCGTGGTTATATATATATATATATATATATACTGTGTGTATAAAAAATACTTTTAAAAACTTTAGGTGCGAGTTCCTCAGACCAAAACAAGAACAAAAGTTCATATAAAGTTATGTCTTCGAATACCACGTTTTTGAGTTATTAAATTTAAAAAAAAGTTTACGGATAGATGTCGCTGTGTTGCCATGTAGACAAGGTTATATTTTGTTATTTGTGTACACTTGTGGCTGGTCTATCTTCATCGCTTAACTTGTACATTACTGTGTTAACTGAGAAGTTTAACAATGGCAGGATATTCATATCGTGAGCAGGCAGATATGATTTTTACTGATGGCCACGCGAATGGTAATGGACGCCAGGCTGCACGGCTGTATCCAGACCGAAGGCAACCGAGTCATCCAACCTTTGCTGCTGGGTATCGTTGCTTTCCCGAGACAGGATCCGTGGCACCACAAACTATAGATCGAGGAAAATCGAGATCCGCTCGTACGCTTGACAACGAAGAACACATTCTTGCTGTCGGAAAAGATCCAGGTATTAGTCGATCCCTACGCTTTTTGCTTTTGTTTATCATATCTTATTTTTTTCTCGAGAATTAACAACAAGAGTATTAAATATTAAAGCGTCGTATTAATAAATTGCGTTTAACATTATTGTTGTCACATTTCGAGAGAAAAAAAATATATAAATCCAGATGCTCACAACGTATTTTAGTGAAATTATCTGGCGAGATCAAATGAAAAAAGTGGCCGAAAAATGCATTTTTTCACAATTTATACTTACAAATACTTGTTATTTTGTGCTTATTTACATGTTCTTGTTTTCAAAGTTATTTCTTTATATGCTAAATAATAAATAGTGCACTGTTGCTGGTTCACATATTTTTATAAACTTTTAAATATAAAATTATTCTTGTGAATAAACAAATAAAAATACTGCTTAATACTTTTGATGTCAGTTTACGAGAGAAAAGGGAATGCATAGATTCAGTTTCATATGTTTGTGTTTTATTAAAATTCTAAAATGGCTTCTTAAAACAAAAATTACCGAAGGTGAAGACAGCAACAACATTATCAAAAGAAAAAAACGTCCTTTTTTTGTGAGTAGGTTTGTTCAACTGTGCTACATTTACAATACGAGAATAGGCGTTGTCATACGGCAAAAAGTCTTATCAATTTTCTTGTCTAGAATAAATATTTTTTCTGTTGCAATTTGTCATTCAAACGCGGTAATTACTCACTGTAACGTCACAACATAAGACTTTGTCTTGGTTCGAAGGTTTCGCAAGAAAGATTTCTTTCTTATTCGCACCCAACACGTAGAACTTTTTTTTTCATTAATATTCTCCATTGAGCTCAGGTTTGGAAAACAGTCTTCGATGTAAGTACGATTGCCGTCTTTTCGGATTGTCATAATGAATCCGATTTTAATAGAGATTATCTTCTCTATAAATGATTTTCTCTATCCTGAAAACAAAATAAAATCAATTTTCTTTCGTGCAAGTATTTTATCGTTTCTTCGGGCGAGTTTTCCTGTTTTTACCTGAAAGGTCCTTTTCTAATTTCGTTTGAAGCCTCTTTTTCAAACTGAACCTGAAGCGACATTCTCGTTTTTGCCTGAAGCGACTTTTTCCACATTTACCTCAAGCGACTTTTTCCACATTTACCTCAAGCGACTTTTCCCACATTTACCTCAAGCGACTTTTCCCACATTTACCTCAAGCGACTTTTCCCACATTTACCTCAAGCGACTTTTCCCACATTTACCTCAAGCGACTTTACCCTCAAGCGACTTTTCCCACATTTACCTCAAGCGACTTTTTCCACTTTTACCTCAAGCGACTTTTCCCACATTTACCTCAAGCGACTTTTCCCACATTTACCTCAAGCGACTTTTCCCACTTTTACCTCAAGCGACTTTTCCCACTTTTACCTCAAGCGACTTTTCCCGTTTTTTACCTCAAGCGATTTTTTTCCACTTGTGCCTAAGACAACTTCCCCCGCTTCTAGCTGAAGCGTCTTTTCCTGCTTTTACCGTGTCTGATTTTTTTCTGAAGTATATAAAAATGTGCTATATATATATATTTCTACTCAAGAAATAAAGAACTGGGTACGTTTCTAAGATTTACATAATATTGTGCAAAATGTAGTACTGGGAACTTTTGCTTCATCCTAATACCAATAAGGACGGTTAATGGTTTATAAAATGAATGAACGAAACCAAATAGTAATTTCTCTGTCAGTTTTAACCCACACAATGGTAACAGATGTAATACAGTCTTGTCTTGTCACAAGAACCAGGTATTGTCATTTAATACCTGTTAAGAAATTTGAACAGTTTGTCCAGCTGACATTTTGTTGCCATTTGCTTCGTTATCGGATCCTTTGTCCATTATTTGCTTTTACAGATTTTGTTTGGTTTCATGGATGTTATTTTATCTCTTTATTCATTACTTGTATCGTTAGACTGAGAAATTGCTTCTGACGCAACACTTTTCTCGTGAAGGTAGTGTTAACAGAATCGTGAATGCTTAATATGGTAGGATTGCATAAATTTGCAGACAGAACCAAAACTCTATAGCTGACAGAATCGTGATTATCCAGTATTGTGAATTTATATTCCACGGAATCGTGAATGTTTAAATAAAAATTCGTAAATCTATAGCTGACAGAATGGTAAATGTATAGTTGACAGAATGCTGAATGCTTAAAAAAAATTCACTTCATGGAAAGCAGTGAAGCCACTAAGACGCAATGAAGTTAAAGGGTATGGAAGAATTAGGAACAGAAACATTAATAATAAGCGGGGTGAATAAAGAGTAATCAGGCGGACAGTAGATAGCGATTGACATTGCATTTAAATTTTTGTAAATTAAAGTTAGCTAGAAAGCATGGAGCCAGAAGAGAGTTTCACAAGCGAGAAGTGCAAGAAAAGGAACTGTTAGCATAGAACTTACGGCTACATCTAGCTAGTCTAGCATTGCGCTCAATTTTTTTTAAAAGTCTTGGTACTATGGCGAAGAGCTCATCCGAACAATTACCGTGAAAGTATTTATAAAAAACGACACAGAGAGGCAACCTTGCGGCAATGAGAAAGAGTTTGAAGCCGAGTCGCCATATCAGGACCGATAATATTTCTGATTCTTCTTCGGATTTTATCAAGGAGCTCAAGGTAAATAGCAGGGGCACTGAACTATATGCGGCAGCAATATTCTAAGCATGAGCGAATGGTAGACTTATAGATATGTAAGATAGATTCAAGAGAGAAAAAGTGTCTCGCACAAAACTGTGAGTGAAATTTCTTAACAGCTAACCTAGAAATGGATTCATTATAGTCTTTCGCCTTCATGTCAGCTGAAAACGTTATCCCGAGTAGTCGCAACGAGTCATTTTTCTGGAAGTTAGCATCACCCATATTGATAGAAGACAGAGAGGGGTCTCTCAGATGATTAATAGAGAAAAATTTAGTTTTGTGGGCGATAATGATAGTATTTTCAAAGTTTAGTTGACAGAATCAAAAATGAATAGTTGAGAGAAATGTGAAAGTCTTCATGACAGAATTGTGAAAGTCTTCATGATAGAAATGTGAAAGTCTGAGTGACAAATGTGAAAGTCTTAATGACAGAATCGTGAAAGTCTTAATGACAGAATTGTGAAAGTCTTAATGACAGAAATGTGAAAGTCTGAATGACAGAATTGTGAAAGTCTGAATGGTGGAATCGCGAAAGTCTTAATGATAGAATTGTGAATATATAGTAGACTGAATCGTCGAAAGATACGTGAATGTATAGTTGACAGAATCCAAAATATACAAGATGTTCACAGTCTTTAGACAATTTCAAAAAAGTCATTACGAAAAACTTAAAAGAGATAGCAACTACATTTTTGTTTCATATTAATACATTATTATTTATGTTCTTTAATAATATTAATAGTTTAATTAATATTATGTTTTAGACATGGACAGAAAGTGAATATCGTGCAAAGAATGTGGCCCAAACAGAAATTTATTAACTATCTATGTATAAAAAGTTGTAGCTTCTGTCTGTTTGTTACCGAACTCTTTCTAGGGTTTGAAGATAGGCCTCTATAACCATATATATTCTGAAAATACATTAGCCAGGATACTTGAATAAGTATATTTCATTTTGATCAAAGGGGGTACACCCCCTCCTAATGAATTGTTTTCTCTTTAATTTAAATTAAATTTAAATTTGAATAAGGGTATGACTCCCATCCAAAATATCGAATGAGAAAGCCAGAATATGGAGGTCACATCGACAAGATCATTTTGATCAAAGGGTGCCTATGGGTGGTCACAACCTCCCTACACTGACTTTTATCCCTTTGATTTAAATTAAATTTAAATTTGAACAAAGGAATGACTCCTAGGATACTTGGATAAATATATTTCATTTTGATCAAAGAGGGTCCCCGGGGTCACACACCCCCACTGATTTTTCCCTTTGATTTAAATTAAATTTAAATTTGGACAAGTGAATGACTTCTGTCCAAAATATAGAAGGAGAAAGACAGAAGATGAAGTTCACATCGGCAAGATCAAAATGTGACAATATGGACGTCAAGTTGAGCAAGAAAACACCAATCAATGAGTAGGGCGTCAAAATACATATTTGTTGTGACAATTCAACTGACATATCAATGTTGAAATCTGCTCATCAATTCATTCAATCAAATATTGCATCAAATACATATCAAAGGGGTCAGATCAAGCTGTTTTTGCACAGACCCCCACTGAAACTTTTTCCCTTTCATTTAACAGATTGCGACATCTATCAGAGAAATGAAATTTAAATTTTTATTATTCCAAAATTTTAACACATCACCAGATAGCAATTAATGTGAACAACTGAGCACAAATAATTATTAATTTAAAAAAGATTAGTAATTAATGTATAATCTTATTCATAACTACATGTACAAGAATGTCATTTTGATATAATTTTAAAAATAACCATAAATGCGTAAAAATGCGTATATTATCGAAAATTCCTCTTTCCACATTTTTCCGCTATTTGTGCTAGGTTATAATGCTTATTTACCTAAACAATAATAAGATTGAATATTTTTTAAAACATTAAAGTAAATTTAATCGCATCTCCCTAATAGCTGTCGCGATCCGTAAATTAAATTTAAATTTGAACAAGCAAATGGCGCCTATACAAAATATAGAAGGAGGAACCCAGAAAATTGAGGTCACAACGGCAAGGTCATTGAGCAATACTGAAATACATCATTTTTCACCACAAATTATAAGAATGATTTAAAATCAATCATTTTCTTACAAAAATCTGTGACATGCAGCAAGGCGCGGGTAATTCGGCTAGTTTCTATATAAAGTTTACAATTTACTTCCTATTGTGTAAACATTTAAAGAGTATTCAGTTTCCGTTGTAATTTTAGTAATTTTTCTATTTGTCTAATGACTTTGTGTATAAGTGACAGAATCGGGAATATTTAATTAAAACAATCGTAAATATATTGTTGACTGAAGTTTTAAAAATAGAAATTGAAAAATTAATTTTTGTGAAAAATTAAAATGAAAACGTCAAAAAAGACAGTCAGCTTCTTTTTCTTTCGTCCTTCCTGAGCCAATGCCATGAGCTGATTTTCTAAGCTTACTTTCAGCACAAGATCAAAAGTATGGGGAAACCAATGAGGATCGAACTTATTCTTCAGTTGTATTTGATCTAGCGGAACAAGCTTGCTAATCATTACAGCACGTCGAAGTGCCAACGTCGATGTCATGAGATGATTTAGTTTTGTGTCATTGATGTCGGCCGAGTTGGAAAGCTAATCAGTTGTCCCTGAGTTGTTCTTACACCGATATAAATGAAAGCGTATGGAGAAAATTATTCGAAAACAATTAATCGAAAAACATTTATTCGAATTGTAAATTGTTTGAATGAAAATTAATCGAAAGGACAATTATGCTAAATGATAATTATTCGAAATACCCATGTTTGAAATACGTATGTGCCCTTGTTTTGAGAGAGTCAATGCTGATTTACCTAGAACTAATAACGCCCTTAAAGGGCTTTTTTGCATCAAGTGTCATCCCAAAATATGGAAATTTTTAGATGCTCTTGGAAGAGAACAGGACTTATAAGAAATTCATATTGCAAAAGTGAAAACAGGTTACCAAAATATCAAGAGCGCCAAGAAATACCGCTGTGAAAATGGAAGACTACAACTACTTGAACTCGTTAAAGAATGCCATTAATTTTTTAAAAATTAATGGCATCCTTTAACGAGTGCAAATAGTTGACTATTTGCGTGCTGTATCATATAACTTAAGGTTATAAGGATTTTTTTCTTACTAAATTGTTTTGGTGACGATATTTGTATTTTGACTAGTTATCATTTGTGTATCTCCTCTTTTATTTTTTACAATTTTGTTGCAATAAAGAAATTTGCGTTTTCGAATAATTATCATTTCATTTATCATTTTTTGAATAATTGTTTTTGAATAATTGTTTTCGAACAATTATTTTCGAACAATGTTATCATATAAAGTCCATTTGTATGAAAATGGAAACGCTTAAAAACGTGTCAACGCTCCTGTCTTAGTCACATAAATTTATTTATGAAATTAACCAAAGTCATCACTGATAGGATTTATTAAGCAAATACGTTCAATCTTACATTCATTCTAATGATTGGGGATGGCGCCTAAAATGCACCGACTAAAGCTAGACACTCGTATAGACACAAATACAAACAACCAATATTTACCGCTATCCGAACCAATTAAATGATAAGAAACTCAAATATAATCGATCAACATTTACCTAGCTGAGGATCAATTAAATACATATAAATCTCAATTGTGGCACAAACCAAAAGGAGTTATCGCTCTTAATATCGATTGCCTCCCTTGAAAGAAAAACTTAGATACTATAAGTAAGCGGCCTAGCCGTACCTATCCATTCAAGCTCAATAAAGTTGTTATTACACCGATATAAATG